TTAAAAAAACACTGGAGAGCGAGAAAAAAATTGCACTGGAAAGATTTGGGAGGTATATTTTCGTGATATTTTGAGGTAGTTTTACAATAACAATACAATGTTATGTAATTAGACATATAACTCTACATATATACAAGAAATATACCAGAACAGAACAATGTTATGTAACCAGACATGTAACCCCACATATATACTGGACATATACCAGAACTGAACAATGTTTCTGTAACCAAGCATATAACCCTAACATATATACCATATATATAACCGTTATATTCTATCATAAAACATAACAAATATACCAATTCACGGTGAACACAAGATAGAAAAAACATTTCAAAAAAAGCAGCAAATAGACACTTTGATATTATAACAATTAGGGATTTGTCTATCACCAAATGGTATATGTATTGTATATGTTTTTCATGATTTTATTGAATATAAACCATACATATACCGAAGACATACGAAATATAAATCATACATATAAGGAACATATACCGAAGATATACTGTACATATACTCCAAAATAAATGAAACGAAAAAAAAATCTCAGAAATTATCTTCTTCAACCTCCCGATCCAACAACTTCTCAGAAATATACTCCCTCCCCGCCCTAAGATCCGAATTCTCCTCTCTTCCACCTCCCGATCCAACAACTCCTCCGTCGGCAGGGTCAGCCCAGAAATCATCTTCTTCAACCACGAATTCTAGTAATCTCGGTCTTCCTTCACCGTCTCCGGCGTCAGCACCCTCCTACACATCCGCCTCCTCCATCCCGACGCTGTCCGCGACCGCCACGACATCTTGGCCGATGATCCATTGATGCATAACATATACTGATTTTGTAGTTTGGTCTTCACCGTTGAAGACAGTTTCCTTCACCGTTCGTCGGTTTTTTTCGAGCAATTTGTAGCTTTTTTTGGCCATTGAAGATGATTATTTTTTTGCACAGAAAGGGAAACGTGGGCAGTGGGTGCTTTCTGAAGAGAGAGAGATCATAGAAGAGAGAGAGAGAGAGAGAGAGAGAGAGAGAGAGAGAGAGATGTTCCATCTTTTTTGGTAGTAAATATTTGATTTATCTTTCTTATCTCAATTGCATTTAATTAGGCATGATAATTGCTTAAAAACGGTTACCTTTTCTTAAATCAACATCTTAGGCAGAAGTGCAATATTTTGTGCTTGTTTCAGTAATTTTATAAATAAAAAATTAATTAGTGTAAAAGTGTAATATTTATCATAACTTAATGTATGAGGTGTAATTTCCTTACCCACACGTTAATTGGGTTAATATTGGGCCATATAAGCTTTGCTCTTGGAGTTTGTGTACTTAAATCAAATGGTGCTTTTCATTGTCTCAACAAATTCAAATATAACAAGAAGTTGGGCTGGGCTTGGTTTACCATGTGAAATTGGACGGACTTTACCAAATGGACGACTTTCTTATTTCTAGTAAGCATGCACATGATCCCTCTTTATATATTAATTCAAAATGTGTTGAACTTAAGTAGTATGTTTTTACGTTTCGGATGATATTAATTTAAAACGTGTTGAACCTAATTGGCAGTTTTCACGCTTCGGATGCTAACATGGCGAAAATCTATGCTTCATGATGTTGTTTTTATAATAATTTTACTCTGGAGTTAAGTTTGTATTAGACATAAATAACTCTTATCATATATTTCTTAACTCAATACCCGTGTTGTACACGGGTATTGTAGTAGTTCAAATGAAAACAAATTGATAGTGGCTAAGTTAGCTAATAGTTGGTTAGTTGATTTCAATCTGATAAGTTGTATCAGTGTTTTAATCAACGCCTGTATTGTACACGGATATTGTTGTAGTAGTTTAATTGAAAACTAATTGATAGTGGCTAAGTTAGCTAATAGTTCGTTAGTTGATTTCAATCTTATAGGTTATATCAGTGTTTTAAATGTGATATTTTCGATTCAAATAGTAATATTGACGTTAATTTAACAGCAATTTTAACTGGATAATGTCACATATTTCAATAAAACCCTCCTTAAAATTACAAACCTTATTGCACAAAGTACAAACCCTAACAAAGAAAAAATAACATTTAAACTTACCAAACCCGCTCTAAACACTACACCATCACATCTTCTATTAACATCGATAATAATAAGAAATAATTTTTCTACCTTTTATTTTCTCTCTCTCTCTAAATGGCATGAATTGGACTGTGACTCGATTTCATGCCCGACTCGTCCGGCACCGGATGACTAGCATGGAAAGCAGACGGTCTATTTGACGAGCCCTCAACCAGCTTAAGAGAGAGAGTGTTGGGCCCACCATCACCTAGAGACTCGCCTAGGCTCAGTTTGGACAAGCCCACTAACTCATCCACTTTGATTGGGCTCTTTGTGTGCACGGCCGTGGGCTTCACCACTTGGTGGGCTTCTTCTTCCTTGACTGGCCCGGTCGTCCAGAGTTGCACTGGCATCATCGGGAAGACTGGGCCCACATAAGCGGGGTAGACGAGAGGGGGGTAAGCGTACGTGGGGCCCTCTGGCGGCGCGGGAATTACGATCTCGCCATTGTCGGGTTCTGAAGACTCCATGGAATCGTCGCATTCTTCCTCCATGGGAGGCGTGTTGCTTTGCGCATCAACTTTCCGAGAGCACACATGGAAAAGTTCTTGGGATATCACGGCAGAAGAATCAATGGGCTACAAAAGACAAAGAAAAGGCGAAATAAGATGAGTTGTACGCTTAGTTTACCTACCACGTAGAAAAAAAAAAAAAAGGGTAGCAAACACTCTGACTTTTGGTCTAACTTCCTTCGTTTTTTTCATTTCTTCCCCAAAAAAAAAAATAGTTCTTTTTCGGGTTTTAGAACTACAAGGGGGTGATTGGTACACAAGGCTCTGACAAGACCTAATGTCTTTTCTCTCTTTCGGTGTAGATCGTCTCTTTGTCTATGGAGACCTTTTCAAGTTGTCCATTCTCTTCGGTATGGATTCAAAGTTAGAACATTGCCCGATATGCTCCATTGAGTGGGTCGCACTTAAGACTTGGATTATCAATGCCTTAAGCGCATTACGGATTTGAGTTTTTACTAGTTCACTCGCTCTTACCGTTGGTCGTTCACGTCTTTATGTAGCTGCTGCTTACTCCGACCCGTATTCCAACTCAGATTAGAGAAAATCGACTGTATGGCGAACAAAACTGGTTTTGATCTATCAGAATTTGACTCGCTCAATTTAACTCAAAATCTAACTCAAATTTAACCCAACCCCACTATCCTCAATATTATTCAATATAATTAAATAATATCAATCATCTCCTTCCTACATCACATCAATTTTAATTCACTATTAATCCCCTCAAATATATTTAACTACGTATTACGTTCATCGTCTCTCCTCGAATTTTACATCACATCAACTATAATCATTATATTTTAAATATTATTTAGTTACAATATCTCTCAATCAACTTTATTCAAAATAAAAAACTTTAACTCAAGATCAAGATTCAATTTTGATCGCTTGTTACCGATTTTGACTCCTTACCAATCACCTTATTCGGTTCTTTCTTTTTGTAGGCCTTCTATTTTTTTTTTTAAAAAAAAAATATTTTTAAATTTGAGATTTGGTATAGGAACAAGATATCTATATTTGTACAAAAAAACGAA